GGTGATGCTTCCCCTTGACAGCAGAGGGGCAGCACGTGCTCCAGCCCACACCAGCCAACGCTCACCCTGACAGCCCCGGTGGGATGGTTTGCTATGAAAAAAGAAAAAAAAAAAAAAAAAATTTGAATTTGTGATGCAAATGACTGGGCATGTGAGCACAGCTGCTGGGAGGTGGCCTGAACTGGTCAGCCACCAGCATGGCCACAGCGATGTGCCCATGGCAAGGTCTGGACCCCATAGCCGCTGCCACCCCTGGAACCTGTGCCACGCAGACAGGGCTGCCCTGCCAAAACCCTCCAGACCTCTCTGCTCCAACTGTGGCTGCACATTGCTGCACCGAAGCTCTTGCAACGGCACCACCAACCCAGGCCCGCCCCGGGCTCCCGTCTGCCCAGCGTGGAGCTGGGCTGCCCAGGGTGCGCTTGCTCCGTCCCAGGATAAGGCACATGGCGCAGCTGAAAGCGGCTGCTCTGTCAAGCAATGCATACACACCAAAAAAAAAAAAAAAAAAATTATGCTTTTAAGCAATTGCAAGGTGATTTAAGCACTTGCCCTGTGCTACCCTGACCAGTCAGGAGCTGCACAGCCACTACCTCCCATCCACACCCCACCGCTCACACGCTGCTTTTAACTCTTGTCCCTCTTAACACAGCAGCACACTGGGCTCTTCCCACGTTCCCAGCCTAACTCTGGGCCAAGGAAGCACTTGGGCTCCTTTTCGGGTGCCCACAGGCTTCCCTCGCTGCCTGCCATCCCAACCCCGCTTCCACCAGGGAGCTGATGGCGGATTTCATTATTATCCTGCCCAGCTACAGCCTCACAGCTGGGTTTTTGCAAACAGGAAGGTGGCAGGTTGGGCTGTTGTTTTGATGTGGCTGTCTCTCCAAACGAGCCCGGACCAAAACTGAGCAGGATCCAGGAGCGGCGTTTGCCAGCGGCAGGCTGGGGACCGGCGCAGGAGGCGTGTGCTGCTCAGCGCCGCCCGCACCCTCGCTTCCTGGCAGTTTTGGCCACCTTTCAGGAACTTAGAGCCAGCTAAATGGAAAATCATCACTCTCTTCACTTTAAAATACACTGGACACATTTTTTTTTTTTTCAATGACAAATTAATCTTTGGAAGCCTCGGTCTTCCTATTGACCTGGGGAGCCACAGGTCCTTGGTGAAGGCAAAAGCCAGCGTTCAGCAGTGCCGGAGCCAGGCGGGAGTGCTGCCTGAGGATGGGCACCACAGCACAGCTCCCAGCACCCTTACCCACCTCCCAGATCCTCCCCTCCCTCTTCCTCCTCAGAAAGACTCATGACAGGGAGCAAGAAGCATTGCTGAATAATCTCCAGCCCTGATAGCACTTCAAAGGCAGGTTTCTCAGCCAGGCTGTGCTCCTCGCCCGTGCCGTGCTAGATGCAGTGCTCAGCTCTTACTCCTTTGGCAGCCCTGCAGCCATATCCAGAGACTGACTACTTAAAAAGGAAATAAATGTCACCCACATGGTTATAAGCAAAACCCTGGGCAGGACAAAGAGCTCCACCAGGATCTGCATTCTCACACAATATGAGCAAGGCAGGAGTGAGCTGTTTCAATGCATTGAGGCGGGCTGTTTACTCTGAGGCCTACTGATGACATTAGACATGCCCACTGTGTGCCTTTAAGTTCACTGGGGCAGTTGATCAGACACAGCACTGAACTGCCTTCGCTTCCATCCTACGGCACCCTCTGCCCCCAGGATGGCTTTAGGCATCACCACCTTCTGAACAGCAATACCCACTGGTGCCAAAGATGCAGGGACTTCTGGCACCAGTTCCACTCTACCCTTTGCAGAGATGAACTAGGTAACTAGCACATTCAAATATCATAATTTTATTTACTTCTAAAAGCTGATATTCACAGTTTGTAATGGTCAAAAAATCTGAGAACCAAACTTCTAAAGCAAGTTGGTGAGGCAAAGTCCAATGTGGCTGAGTAATGCAAAGGAGGCTCATGGGTGTGAGCACCCTGCCAGAGCCTCACCCCTGCCCACAGCCTGCCAGATCAGAGATCCCTTAGCTGCAACAGGGCTTTGGCAGACTGCTCACTTTTGGATGGATTAATTTAGAAAAAAAAAACCCAAACTTGTTCTAAGCAAATAACAGAAGGAAAGTGATATCCTGAGCATTCTGGGGCAAGATCTGATCTTAGCTGTCCTGGTTTCCACTGGAGCTGCACCACCACTTTATACCCTCTGCTCCACACAGGCTGGGTGCAAGCAAGCACCCGGTGCTGGGCACGAGCACTGGGGACCACACAGCTCCAGCATGATGCTCCAGGCACTCAAAAACCCTGAGGTACCAAGAGCTACAGGTGACTTGGGACATGCAGAACAAGCAATGGCACATGGGACAGGCTGTGAGGGCCAGCTGTGCCCATGCAATGCCCTGCCAGGTCAGGATGCGAGCAGGGGCTCTGGCCAGGCTCCGCTGCACCGCAGGACATGTGCTCCCACCCCACCCAGGCACGCTCAGGCGCAAAGACCCAGCAAGGCCAGATCAGGTCAATTTGGAAGTACTCCCTAACAGACTCCAGCCAAGCAAACATGGTACCATACAGTAGCAAATAATTTTAAAAGTTAAAATAGTTTATTGCTGTTCTTTGTAGAAATGCACTTAACTTACATCATCTGTTCTCTTCCTTTATTTGGCTGTTGGATTATAGGCATAAAAAGGTTATGTTTACCCATTTGTTCAATGACAAAATGTCACCTTTTTCTCTTTTGCTCCACTCACGATATTCTCCTCAGCTTTGCTGGCCAACAGCCCCAAATCTCTTTTACATAAATACTGTAAATGTCTCCATAGGTTGCAGCATTGTAACAAAAGACCTACCGAAGTAGACAAAATGTTCAGTATTCTTGGTTGGTTTTTTGCATTTAAAAATATACCTAAATTTGAGATAATCTTAACAGAGTAACAATTACAATAAGAAAATAGTACAGTGCGTTGACTAAAGGAATATTCTGCTCTCCTTCAAGCCAATATTCCCTTTTGCATGTTGAAGTGATTCAGCAATTACTTAAGAACTTTTACCTACATACAATAATTTAGTAAAATGAGAATTAAACAACGCAGATACTTACTACTATTCTTCTGTCTGCAATTCACAGCTCATGCGAATAAAATCGCAATAAATATTAAAAAATAGTTTTTCTTTTTGTTTTTTTTCCTTTTTTTTCTGTAAGGCATCTCTGAGTATTACAAAGTTTTTGTACAACCAAAAAATAAGATTGCTTTTCTCCATGTTCTCCGAGTACCTCTGTACCTCAACAGTAATTAAGAGGATTTGCAGGTTTGATGAGGAGGGGAAGGCTGACAGGGGAGGGCCGGAAAGACGACCATGGGTGATGGAAGCAGACCGCGATGTGTGCAAGAATCTGTAGTTTTCCTGTGAAACATTTCAGTCACTTTTAGAACATCTCCAAGATAATATCTGTCCAGACTGAAAAAAAAAGATACCCCAACTTACCAGAAGTCCATTTTCATGAGCACAGTCAGACCGCAAGGGTTTGGGTTCGCCCTTAACACTATAAATAGCTTAGGTATTGATATGCACCTACATAAGGGGGGCAAAGGGGTGGGGTGATTTTTTTTTCTTTTTTGTTTTGTTTCTTTTATTGGGTTTTGTTGTTGTTGTTGCTTTTGTTGTCCTAGTCATATCCTTCCATTGTAAAAGATTGTCCTAGGTGGCGAAGGGGCAGGCAGGGCCCTCACTGCATGCGGTCGGGCTGCAGCTGCTGGGGCTGGTACTGCACAAAAGCAGTGGCGGGGGCCGCGGGGTTTACTGATCGTAGGCAGCTGTGGTGTACTGGGAGTAGGCTTGGCTGGCGGCGGTGTAGTCGATGTAGGGAGAGGTGATGGACTGCACGGGGGTAGGGATCACCACGCTGGGCTGGATGATAGCTTGGGGGTAAACATAGTGAGGTGTGAGCCTGTGGAGGCAAAGGGAGAGAGTCAGCGAGGGGCTGGGCTCCCTCCAGCCTGCACAGCCCCCTCCTTCCCCCCCACATCCACATGCATCAGCCACAGAAACATGTGGTGCCCTCAAGTCAGGGGTGCTGCTCAGGGTGGAGGGAACGAAGCAAAACACTCCTAGACCCCAACGGTGGAAGTAGTGTAAGGTGCAATGGGCTGCAAGAACAGACCGGCACCCTGGTCTCAATGCCTTGTATCTCCCACTATCCAGGCTGCTGGTCCCCAGAATAACCTCCCTGGATGGCCGTGACACAGCCCCTGCCCAACTGGCTCTGCCTGTCCCTGCCAGCCTCACCACCTCCTGGATCCTCCAGGTCCACGCTTCCCCCCACACTGCCCAAATCCTGCTGGAGGCTCCCGAGGAGCCAGCAGCCCCCGTGGGGCACCTCCCGGCACTGGGGATATGAGCTCCTCCGCTCATCCCATCAGGGTAGCATCCCAGCAGGGATGACCACTGTCCCCGGGCACAGCCCAGGGCCTTCCAGCTTGCCAGCTGTCACCAGTTACTACACACTTAAGCTAGTGTTTCCATAATACTGGATGTTTAGGGCAATGCTACAGGGTGTTTGTTGCAAAACAAGAGATATTAATTCTGGTTTTCTTCCCTTCAGTAACACTCCTCAGCAGCGACCGTGCCAGCAGCGATGCTCGCGTGCCCATGAGCTTTTACACCCAGGCTCAGCAGCCAGCCGGCCCCCGGCATTTGCTCTGCCTTTTCCACACAGGTCCTAAAGTGTTGCTTTTCACCAGCTGGTTTGCCCCTGCCCCGAGCAAGCCATGCTGCTGAGAGGAATTTAACAACGCCACAGTCAATTAAAGTCCATAGACTGAAAGATCCTGGAGGTGATTAATCCAGGATTGCCCACTAATTTGCTAGAAACTGCTAATGAGGAAGAACAGAAAAAAACAGGAAAATGAAAGGGCTGTATTTTCCAGAGGGCCCGCAACAAGTCAGGCCTCAAATAAGAGCAAAAACTGCGCAAACCTGAAGGTTTAGGTCCATCCATACAAAGTGCCACAGGCCAGACAAAAACGGGCGCTTGCACATGCAACTGCAGAGCAAACTATCTGCCTGCACAGCCCTCGGCAGCGGAGCCCTCCATTGTGCACAGGCTTGACAGATTTGGGGCTTGCTTAAGAAATAGGGGTGTGCAAATTGCCACCAGCAAATGGCACGTGACCGCTGAAAGATCAGAGCCACGCGCACCCGAAAGCGCATGCTGTGAAATAGGTCCCTTTGGCCGGCTGCTTGCCAAACAACACAAGGCAACAACACGAAGCAAAAGCCATCCTCCAGAGAGCTCTTTCTACCCTGCCCCCAAACCCAACTCATTTTGGCAAAAAAACCAAAAAAAAACCCCAAGGTAAAACTCTGCAATGAGCTTATGCAGATTCAAATATTTTGGGGGATTTTTGTGTGGATGTGTATGACAGCACATTTTCAAACACAACCACTTTTAAAAGCCTCCCACAGGCTTTTCACAAGATGCAGGCTTGTACATGCCAAAACTGCTCTCTAAAGCCGAGCTCATCTGCTCAGGGAGAGGATATCTTGTCCACTTGTCCGTCTGACCCCCGGGGTCAGAAGCCCCAGCAGACCCACCACACTCCCAGCAGCGGGACCCCACACTCTGGTGCTTCACAGGCTGGGACTGGAAACTTCAGCAGAATGGACCACTGGCTGCCCTCATCCACCCGAGCATCCCTCCTAGGTCTCAGTCACCACATACAACGTACTGGGGTTCACCCAGGGCTGTTCCCATTTGCTTTACAATGAGTACTGGATGGTTTAACCCGCTCTTCAGGCAGGAGGAAGGCTTCTTGCAAACAAGTGCTCATCTGAACTGAGTTTTCTCTCGTTTTCCCACTCACATATGCACTTTGGTTTTTCTCGAGGCAATTTGCATGATGAGAGAATGATTGTTCTCGTCACTCCTCCCCCAGCAACACTGCCTCCAAAATCAGGGTCCTTAGCTATAACAAGGCCACCCCAGAGAGGAGGATGGATGGTGGAGAGCAGCACCTCAACCTTTGGCTGATTAAGTGCAAGACCATCTCCAGAGGCCAGAGCCACCCCCGGTGCAGTGCTCCAAGAGGGACTACACAGCCCTTCAGTCCGTAAATGCACCGTGCCCAATATTGCCCTGTGACTAACGAGAACGGGATGAGACAGCAGAAATTCACTGAATCGCTCTTGGTTGTAGCTCTGACCTAAACTGAGGCCATCACAGCTGAATCAGAGCTAGAGCTTACACCGGTTCAGACCAACAGCTCTTACTGTCCCACGCCCGCAGCAGCAGCCACCTCTTCCAAGGAGCCGGGCTCAGTCCCAACCCAGAGGTTCCTCAGACTTCGTTTGTTTTGTTTCATTTTGTTTTCAGTAATGTGGAGATGCAATATTGCTCTCTTGGCCTGCCAGGGTCTGGGGAAAGGCTCCACAGAGGCACCCCCAGGCACCAGCCCCACCACTGGGGGCGAGACAAGTGGACACCACGCACACCTCTTGCTCTGCCCCCTAGTAAATTAGCAGCTTGGACAACAGCCTGCATCCCAGATCGGTGACAGATGCTCTGGCTGCCTGTTGCTACATGTGTCCCACTACTAGGCTTCCTGCCACTCCAGGGCTTGGTAATGTTAAAAGCACCCCACAAACACAACAAAAATAAATGCACAATCCTCACACTCAGGACTCACTAAAAAGCGCCCACCAGCAGGAGCAGAGGAGGGGCCTGCACTTCTTCTGCACACAGGCGTTCAGCCCACGCCTGCAAAATGACCAGGAGGATGATCAGAGAGCCTCCAAGCAATCCAGCCTGAGCATCGTCCTGGCTGAGCAGCTCCGCAGGTAACCCCCCATGTCCCCTGCCACCACCCAACTGCTCTCCGGAGCCAGCACACCCCATGCGGAGGACATGGCCACATGCGGGGCTGTTGGGGCAAGCGCACGCTCCCAACTCATCCCCCAGGAACTCCGCGTGTTGGCTTTGCTTTCACGTACACAGCTCCTCCATCGCAGCTCCCACGGTGTGCTCCGGAGAGACAGCAAATCCATGACATCCTGCACTATTTTTTTTCCTCAGCAAGGCAAAATTCCAGCTCTTCAGTGCTACTTCAAATAAAAAGCACCATTAGCGGAACCATTCCTGCACTCTGTTTCCAGAAATACATCCCAGCCCCATACGTACACAAGCGCATACCACACACCATAGTTCACTGCACTAGAAAAGTCACACTCAGCAACTCCAGAACGTGTTTCTATATAAAAGGGAAGGTTCTTTTGGTCTGTGAGGTTTTAATAATTTAGCTAGAAGTTTCAATTGTGATGTGCAGCTTGGATTTCTGAATTAGGTGGACAGATGGCAACGCATTGATCAAAACAAAACACACAACCCAAGGTAAGGTCACTTGGATGATTTGCAGCTACAAACAAAACCAAACCAGTGCAGTACGATGAAGTTCTCTCCTGGCTATGCTTAGCATCCACAGAAAGTCTTAAAATATTCCCCCCTTTCCATTATTTATGAAAAAACTTTTTTTGGGGGCGGAAAAAAAAAACCCAACAACCAACCCTCTTTTAGAGTTCTTTTTCTAAAGATCAGCAAACTCTAATCTGAATTTCTACAGAATGAGTCACATCTGTGTTTTAAGATGCTTTTCCCTTCCTCCCTGCAATTTTCCTCCCTCCCCCACAACAGGCCCTGCCAGCCAGAAGAGAACTTCATCTAGAATACACACAAAGTGATTATCAAAAGTCAACCAAGTGATCAGACATGGCCACCACACATCAAAGCCAGCCCGTGAACAGCAGATGTACGAGATTCTTATGGCATTACAATTAATCACGGGCAAAGGCCACAAAACCCAACAAGCATGGTCAAACCTAAGTCTAGAGCCAGCAGGGGCTGCAGGAGAGACTCAGGAGGGCCATCACGGTGCAGGAGGGCAGCCAGGACCACCACGCTAGCCCACCTTCCTAACTATGTGGCATGAACCCACGCTGCCCTGGCAGCCAAAATTGAAAGACACAGAACAAGAGAGATGGTTACAGAGCCATCGGCAGAGGCGATGCAGACCCGGCTCCTGCTTTTGCTGGGCAAAATATGAAGGACAGAACAAAAGCAGCCCGTTTTGGGTGCAGTCCTGGGTGGAGATGTTCAAATGCATCAGGGAAGGCTTGCAGCTACCAGTGCCCTCAGCTCCTGAGAGGTGCAAGAGCAGAATTTTTAAAACCTGCTGTCACCCAGTCCTCTCCACCGCAATGGCAGGGCTGGCTGGTGGGCAGCAGCAGCCCAGAATAAGGGATCTGTCACAGCCATGTGTCCCACACCCCCTCCCAAATGGCAAGGAAGAGGAATGAGCTAATAAAGCCCTCTCCCTCATCAGCAGCTCTGTCTGGCAGAGCTTATCGCAGAGGCATTTTATACATTTGGTTATTTTAGGTCAGATTTACACCTAAAATGTGTTTTATAGCCACACCTTCTCAGATCTCCCCCATCCTGCAGGACTTGCCACCCAAGCTGCGTGGGTCTGGGAGAGCAGCAAGCAGGAGTTCCTGACCCCCTTGATCTCTGCCAGCCACGCTGGGACCTGGTTTCGCTGCTTCTGGAGAGGTGGGAGACAACCACAACCCCCTGTCAAGAGGGACACAGCATCACACAAACCCTTGGGCAACAAGGAGGGGCACAGTGCTCTTGGCAGCCTCACAGAGATCAGCACACAAATGCCACTGCCACGACCAGCCTTTTTTTCCTTGAAGAATAAAAGAAACAGAGCCCTTTGTGTCTGCCAGCGAAGGCACAAATTCCAGCATTTGACCCCAGGAATTTGCCTTCCATTTCCACTAGAGTTGACCTGTTAGCTGCCACAGGGACACCCACACTGCCACAACACATGATGGGGCTTCAGCTGGTAGGTGGTACTGCAGAACAAGCCGAGCGTGGCCACAGCTTCCATGACA